CTCCTCCTCTTTTAAGACTCCATCCTTCAAAAAATTTCCTTAAACTATCAGCACTGAAGTTCCATTGAAAGTCATAAACTATTCTAATTTCAATAGTTTCAAGTGATTCTGGTATATTCTTGGCCATTGACATAATAATTTATCAGAATCCAATACTTTTCCACAACTAAATGAAAATATTCTTAATTCATCAAAATTATCAAATATTGATTTAACTTGTTTAGAACTTAAATGACGTAAAGTTAATTTCATAATCTTTGTGCAATAATTTAAAATTGTTAAAGATATATTAGATGTAATTTTGGGATATTTAGCTAGATAAATGTTTCTTAAATTTACATTGGCAGTTTCAAGAATTTTTATAATAAATTCTTGAGGATACCTATTATTTGGACGTTTCAAATGAGAATAATGTAAACTACTCAATTGAGTAAATGATGAAGCTAAGAATAAAATATCCGAATTTTCCAAATTCATTTTTTCACCCAACTAATATTAATTATTATAATTTCTACTTTTTTATCCTGTAGTCAATAAATAATCCATTAAACTAATTTTCATTCATTTAGGGTATGTTTTTGTGTGATTACTCTGGTTACGAGATTTTGGTAAATATGTTCGTTTTAGTTACATGATTTTAGCAGGTACGTTCTAATGTTCATTTTTTAAAAGTTTTTAAAGTCTTACTGTTATTCAACTAATATAATTAAAGTTAGTTATTAGGCGTCATGATTAATAAATCAAAATTAATGAAATATCTCTGATATCATTAACAATAGACTCGTCCCTTTGATGAGCTAACTTTTATATATATAGTAACTAATAGTAAAAAGAATTGTAACTTTATTTATAGGTTTAATAAAGATTATTACAAAATAATTAACTAAGATTATACAATTATCTTATTATGTGAAAATCTGATCACCATAATCTTTTTTCCGTATAAATGACTTGAAATTTTCTGTACCCTCTAATTCTTACAAGTTTGAGCGTAATGTCTATTTTCATCACATTTGCCACATTTATTTTGAGGTCTTTTGTTTTTAACTTGTTCATTACTAATTTTCAAACGTTTAACTGAAGGTCATCCTTTAGATTGTTAACTTGGTCGGGATCAAAATTTTCTTTATTATTTTTGATATGTACCAATTTTTGTTCTTCATCCAACCAATTACTGAGAATTTTTTTTAGACGAATGAGAGAATCACCACCTATTTCAACTGCAATATGAACTGCTTTTCGAGCAAGACCAAATGTTTCTCATAATTACGTCATTTTTGAGTCACATGGTGAACTTCTGAACAAAGCACATCACGATCACGAATCCTAGAAATATAATGCATTGGATAAAGTGCGGGACAAGGTAAAGAGCCTTCAGATTGTGCTGAACCAGTATTCACTATATAGGGTAGTTCATCTAAATATAAACTTTGTATTTTTCTTTGTTATGCCAACGTCTAGGAATAAGAGTTATATGAAAAAAACATTGCTATAAGTAACAAATACATGCAAAAAATGCTGACAAATTAAACCACAATTAATAAGTGACATGCATGTGCATAAATGTGAGAGATCAGTAAGAACAATAACAAAGTTCACATGAATGCAATGGCGTCATTGAGCTTTATATATTTTGATAATATCTTTTGAAGAAAGATCCTCCAGAAGAGATGTTAGATGAATTTTTTGTATATCATAATTTTCTCCAGTATGCTTATTATTGGATAATTCCTTAATTTCCATTATTGTAAAATAATAAAGAGATTGTGTAATTTCATGTCTTTGGCAGGAAAGTATTTCTTCAGTAAGATATTCCTTGAGGATATGATCAACTTCAGGAAAGCATTCGGCAGATGCACCATTCAATTGCGCACTTGTGTTAGCATGGTACCATTCCTTATGATTAACATATTGTGCTTCATCTTTTAGCCTTAAATCTAAAGTAGTAGCAAGTTCACAAAGACTAGGACGACCTTGAAGAACACCTTTTATTACTGCATTTTCGCTTTCAGCACGTGATGTTGATGAGATGCCAGCCGTAAAGAATTTGGTTGTATATGCCTTTTCCCATCTTTCTCTACTCGAATAAAGCTCAGAATTAAGAAAATTAGCTGCCATGGATATGTTGCAATAAGTTTACTCTATTTAATATCAAATTCAGCAGGAGAAAGATCATTTTGACACAAATAAAAATCTCTTACAAAATCATTAAAGGAAGTACCAAGGGAAGCCTTAAGATTGCATATTAGATTTTGAGAAATATGGTAAATACAATGGAATGGATATACTTCGCTATATTGACTATCTATAGCAGCATCCATTCTAGGATCAGCATTGGTAATAAAAACTCGTGGAGCATGATTTGTAGCTTAAAGTAGAAATGAGAAGCCATTCATATGTTACTTTAGTTTCATCATTTACCAAAGCTTGTGCAATAAGATGGGAGCGAAAATGATTATTAACTACTTAAATAAGGAAAGTGGCATGTTATATTAATTGGTTTTGTGTGTATTATCATTCACTATAATATCATGATAAGTCATCCATAATTGAACTTGTTCTGGTGACATCCAAAATATTTTATCTAGGCTTTTTTGTTTCGTGATTAACCTCCCAAAATACCTCCCATCCTAGTTCTTCAGATTTTTTAGTAAGTAGTTGCTTTAAAAGATTCGATTCATCATTTTCTTGTTGGTCAGCTACTTTATATTTTTGAATTAAATTTTGTAGGTCACGCAAATATATTGTAATGTTAGGAAATTTGGAAGATAAAAGTCTACGTTGGATTGTTGTACTAAGATTTCCTTTAACTGTATAAAAATAAATTTCTCGTATAACAGCTTCAGGTAATGTTTGATTTTGGGTACATATGTATTAGTCATAGCATCAAGTGGATGGTTGTGATTAATGTTCAATGATGTTATGCTAATAATATTTGCATTTTTTGAAAAGTTGTTTTTAACATGCCAAGGGTATCCAGTACGTTTTGATTTGCTGTTTCGTTAATTTTCTAGGATTATTGACTTCTTAGACTTATAAGCACCTTGACGATCACATAAATAGGTATGTCACCTACAAGTTTGTTCTGGTGGAGGATCTTGGTCATTTCTTGTTTTAATAAATACAAATTTTTCTTGCCAGGAATATTCATAGAAATATTTATCAACATTATCCCATGTATTAAAGACTTGTCCAACAAAAGGTGCTGTAATAGTATGTTGTAAACAGAAAGAACTAAATTGGATTGTAAGATGAGAAAAATGAATACAAAAAAATTAACAGCACATTTGCTTACAAAAAAAAATTGGGAATATGATACATAGAAGGGTTGGTAATTGGGTCTTCTATATCTATTTCATTGCTATCACTTGATTGTAAATTATTATTAGACATTATTGTTCCATTGCTGCTAGGTAGTGCTACTTCTTCATTATTGTTGGGTTGCATCATTTCGTTATTGTGTTTTTTATGATTTTGCTTTTGTTTTTTTGTGGTTTATGTTTTATTTTTTTTTGTTATTTCGTGAATATAACATTAATTAATTAAAAAATTTTAAAATTTGATTACAGAATTCTATTGGCTGCTTATAATTGCACGTGTTTATTCATATGACAGTTGATCACCACCAGTGGTTACAAGTACATTTTTTCTTTAGTAATAAATTATAATTGGTACTACATGACTAATAGAAAATAATAAGTAATAAATAAATAAATACTAATAATAATTAATAAAGAATATATAAAAATAAGGTAACAATATGTATAATTATTTATATTACGTAAATATACTTTAATATTTGCTAACCTTCTTGGAACGGTTCAGGGTTCAGTAATTTCGGGCTCATTATTACTTATTTTCTTGAGATAGTATGAATTCGTGGATCAATCTAAATGATTTTTTTAAATAATATTTCTTGGGATTTCCTTAAATATTTCCTACCCTTTTGGATGGATCTAAATTATTTTTTAAAGAATTACTTACCTTCCTTGTGATCTAGAATAATTGAGTAATTTTTTTATGTTACAGTATTACAGATCTGTGATCCTGAGTTCGCGACTTGCAAGGTAAGATTTTTAATATTTAAAAAATTATTGAACTTTTTTAATACTCTCCAGCCTCTTTGAAATCCTTTGTATAATTCTATATATTTTAGTAGTAAAAAAATGATTTCATAACACCACATGATAAATTGATCAAGATATATTAATTATGAAGAACCAAAATTTAAAATCAGGTATCGCAATTTCTATTATTTTTGATTATTTATATAATAATATCTAAATTTATCTTTTATTTTAGATAAAAAAAGTAGTAATTCCAACAATTATAATCATTCGAAATAATACAAAGAATTATGGTACGTAGAAAGTATTGTATTGATGAACTCATTGGATTGTTTTTATAGATTTATTTTTTTTTTAAAATTTTTGAGCCATCCAATACACCTGATAGTGGTTGATTGTATATCTTATTTTATTCATTTATAAAAGCATACTGTAAATTTTATCACATGCGTACATAAATAAATAGAGAATTAGTTAAGAGAAAATAGTGAACTTTTTTGGTTAATATCAATTTTAATTTTAATGATAAAATCAATACGATATTTTAATAAAAATTAAATCTTAAATTTATAAAACAATAAAATCAAAGCTTATCAAACTATATTGATAAATTTTTTTCAAAATTATTATCGAAAATTGCATTCTTTAATACACAATATTCTTGATTCAAAGTAAAATCCATAAATAGTCATAACAACTTTCGATTAATTAATAATGATGATTATAATCAATATTTCTGTGCGAATTTTATTTGCCATTTTTTTATATCGAATAAAAATAGAAATTTAAGAAATAAAGACGGAAATTAATTTTCATGGGCAATATAAACATACGAAAAATTCTAGACCTTATAGGAATAGTCACTTCTATTGATATATATAAAGTCATCGACGTTCTTAGACAGATTCTACTGCAATTATATGACCAAATGTGTAACTATTCTAAAATAATAAAATAATAATCAAAAATAAAAAATACGGTAACAAAAATAGGTAAATATTTATTAACTGAAAATAATTATTTAGAATTAGATTATTATTTTATATCAAATTGAATTCCATATTCTTCAATAACTTTAAAATGCTCGCTACTTGTTGCTACCAAATTTAATGATGATAATAATAAACCATCCGAGGTATATGAACGTTTAATACGTAATCTCCTAGGCATTTTATTTCCTTCTCCTCCTTTACAACGCCACCCTTCAAAAAATTTTCTTAAACTATTAGCACTAAATATCCATGGATTATCATCATCCATTATAAATATAATAGTTTCAAGTGGTTTTGGTACATTCTCAGCCATCTGACATAATAATTCATCAGCATTGATTCCTTCCTTACAATGAAACGAAAATCTCCTTAATTCATTAAAATTATTATTAAATATTGCAATTACATGTTCAGGTCGCAAATTATGTAAAGTTAATTTGCTAATATTTGTGCAATAATTTAAAATTGCTAAAAATGTGTCCGTGGTATATGAATTTAAATAAATTTTTCTTATTTTTGTATTGGCTGATTCGAAAATTTTCATAATAAATTCTTGAGGATAATCATTATATTTATGTCTAAAATGAAAACTGCTTAATTGAGTAAATGATGGAGCAAAGAATAAACAATCCGTTTCATGTAATCCATAACAATCTTCAATATAAAGTTCTTGAAGTGAAATAAATTGTCCAATTGATGAAGATTTCC